CCTAGCGCCCCTCCTCTACTTGCACTACATTGATGACATCTTCATCATATGGACCCACAGGAAGGAGGCCCTTGAAGAATTCCACCTGGATTTCAACAATTTCCACCCCACCATCAACCTCAGCCTGGACCAGTCCACACAAGAGATCCACTTCCTGGACACTACAGTGCAAATAAGTGATGGTCACATAAACACCACCCTATAATGGAAACCTTCTGACCGCTATACTTACCTACATGCCTTCAGCTTTCATCCAGACCACATCACACGATCCATTGTCTACAGCCAAGCCCTAAGATACAACCGAATTTGCTCTAATCCCTCAGACAGAGACAAACACCTACAAGATCTTTATCAAGCATTCTTAAAACTACAATACCCACCTCGGGAAGTGAGGAAACAGATTGACAGAGCGAGACGGGTACCCAGAAGTCACCTTCTACAGGACCGGCCCAACAAGGAAAATAACAGAACACCACTGGCCATCACGTGCAGCCCCCAGCTAAAACCTCTCCAGCACATCATCAACTATCTACAACCTATCCTGGAAAATGATCTCACTCTCACAGACCTTGGGAGGCAGGCCAGTCCTCACTTACAGACAGCCCCCCCAACCTGAAGCAAATACTCAACAGCAGCTACACACCACACCACAGAAACACTAACCCATGAACCAATCCCTGTAAGAAACCTCATTGCCTACTCTGTCCCCGTATCTACTCTAGCGACACCATCAGAGGACCCAACCACATCAGCCACACCATCAGCGGCTCATTCACCTGCACATCTACTAATGTGATATATGCCATCATGTGCCAGCAATGACCCTCTGCCATGTACATTGGCCAAACTGGACAGTCTCTACGTAAAAGAATAAATGGACACAAATCAGACATCAGGAATGGTAACATACAAAAGCCAGTAGGAGAGCACTTCAATCTCCCTGGACATTCTATCATTCTATAACAGATTTAAAAGTAGCCATACTTCAACAAAAAAACCCTTCAAAAACAGACTTCAAAGAGAAACTGCAGAGCTACAATTCATTTGCAAATTTAAGCCCATTAATTTGGGCTTGAATAGGGACTGGGAGTGGCTGGCTCACTACAAAAGCAATTTTCCTTCTCTTGGTATTGACACCTCCTCATCAATTATTGGGAGTGGACCACATCCACCCTGATTGGGTTGGCCCTGTCAGCACTGGTTCTCCACTTGTAAGGTAATTCCCTTTTCTTCGTGTGTCAGTATATTTATGCCTACATCTGTAATTTTCACTCCATGCATCTGAAGAAGTGGGGCTTTTTACCCACAAAAGCTTATGCCCAAATAAATCTGTTAGTCTTTAAGGTGCCACTAGACTCCTCGTTATTTTTTTGAATTCCACTACTACCTGCGCTCTGTTTCTCTAGTACTGAGACAACCACACCTGGAATACTGTATTCAGTTGTGTGTAACTAGACTCTTTTAGTGTATGTGGCAGTAGGTGGAATGGTTTATTGTGTTGGCTGGGATGTTTAATTGAATTGGTTGTTTCTTTGTATATGGATTGGGGTGGTGGAGATAAAAGGAGAGCCCTGAAAAAGTGGCCTCTGTTTCAATTTATAGAAATGCCAACTTGTCCTCAGCATGGTGGCAAAAGGTCTGTGATACCCTTATACTCTACTAGGGAAGTCTAGATCCTTACCCACCCTAGGGACCGTGAGGGATCAGTAAGGAGCTACATGATGAGAGGGTGATGTAGGCTCATTGGTGATTGGGGTCTCTGATTCCTATTGATGAACATGGGAAGGCAGGGTGGGCTGAGGCTTTCTCATAGATCCAGGTTGCCCATATGTCTCACTAGTATTGTTTGAGATCATTCCTCAGTATGATAGGGAACTGGCTGGCCGTGACCCTGCCCTTTCTGTTCATGTTGTTCAATGCAAACTTGATGATGAATCAAATGATCACTATCCATCATTTGCTTGTGGATGAGGCCCTGACTGCTTCTATACTAAGACTGGGCTGAATGATACAGCAAGCTTTGTGTTAGCACCTCTACAGATTTTTTGTGTGTGTGTGTGTGTGCATGTGCTGAGAGATGGTTAGGAAAGAAGCTGTAATAGTCTGCAACTGATTTTAGATGAACAAAACCAATTGGTGTAGAAATTGAACAATACACACAAGTGCCCAATCTCTCCTAATACGAGAACAAGGGAATATTCAACCAATTTGAAGGGCAGTAAATTTAATATAGATAAAAGGAAACACTCTTTAATCCAGTGCATAGTAAGCCTACAGAACTCAATGCTACAATAGAACTGAGACTGAGTTTAGCAGGCTACCAAAAAAAAAATACATCCAGGATTGGGATTTATATAGTTAATGAGAACATCAGAGTTTCAATTGTGAAATTTTTTTAAACTTTATTTTTTTAGAAGGGGTAAGCCTCATGCTTAGAGGTTTATGCCAGTCTTTACCTGCTAGAGGTAACAAATGAACTGTCCTATGGATAGATTTGTTTCAAAGTTTCTTCTTGCAGGGTTTCTTGTATCTTTCTCTGAAGTATCTGGTACTAATCACTGTCAGACAGGGTACTGCACTAGATGGATCATGGGTCTGATCTCACATGACAATTCCTATGTTCCTACAACCTTCCCCCCTCAGAAACAGACTTGATAACTTTGCATTCCTGGGACAAGGTTAAAGTTGAAATAGCTGCATGACTGAATCTCAGACTGCCTCACTGACTTGAGAGTTTTCATGCAGGCTTATTCTCTTGAGTAACTTCACGCCGTAAAGGTGACTCAGGAACTCATGACAACCATGAGTTTGTCCCAGATTATTTCATTTGTACCATGTATGCATGGCATGTAGTTTGGAATCTTGTATTGGGACTATCATAGAAGTTTAGGTGGGTGGCTGAGGATTACCTTTGTTAGTCTGTCATTACCTTTGGTTTGAAGTTAGGACTCCCCTTTACCCCCTTTCCAAGCACTGATTTCAGCTGTTAAAAGTGGACCTAGGATCAGTTTTAGTTCTGTCTAAGGAGGCACTGTACAGTCTGTGGACCAGTCTTTTGAATGGCTAGCAGAACATCATAACCATCTTGTCCTTCAGTATCAGTATGGTGTATACTAAATATCCTCTCTCAATAGGTCATCCTCCCAGGTCACCTTGGTATACTGGTGACAGATGATGCATGTGGTATGGAGGTTACAGGGGCAGTCATCTTATTCTAACTACACCACATAATGTTCTATGCCATGGCTGCTGTAGAAGTGAAGAAAGATGTCAATGCAGAGGAAAAAAGCTAAGTCATATCCAGCTGAAATGATGTGGGAGGGTAGTCGTATATGAAAAATTAGTTTTTGGGGGTGAGGGGAGTGTTCAAATGTTGGCAACTGTTACAGGCACAGAGCTTATGTTCCTATGAAAAGATAAGCTAACTGCAACGGAACAGGTAAACTGGTATATCCTAACTGGAGAAGTGCATAAGTTTATTAGGTCAAAAAAAAAAAATCTTAAAAAAAAAAAAAAATTAAAAAAAAAAAAAATGTAAATCCAGTTCAAATGACTGGCATAAATAGACTGGAACAAACTATGCCAGGGAAATCAAAAGGATATTACAAAGATCCAGAGATACAAAGGTCAATAATTCTTCAAATACATTAGAAGCAAGAAGGTTACATGTGTTGCTTTCGTACTTTGCTGTGTTTAAATTCTCAATCTTGATGTTGTCTTAGCATAATTACAGGCAAAAATCTCCTTTGTTTAATACAGAAGAAAAAATATTTTACAGTTTGAAGCAGTGTTCTCCAGTGGATAGATTCTGCACATAAGCTGCACTTAAAACCTGATGACTTTGCACAGAAATGGAACCTTAACAAACTGCAGTTACATGTTTTGCTTAAAAATATCTATAGTTTATAGTTTATAATTGTGCAAAATGTTGCATGTTGCATCACATCTGCTATAATAGATTAGGCATACGCAGTGCAGTTCCACTTTCCTGCCATTCAAGAACAACTAAATTTAAGTACAGAGCGTATGCCAACATGTAAAACATAACCTTGGTCAAGAGTTTCAAAAGTGACTAGTGATTATGGGACACTGTTTTCCAAAGGCAGGTGACCAGAACTTCCTGAAAATCAGGCTCCTTCAAAGTATCTCAGGTTGAGCACCCAAAAATCACTAATCGTTTTTGAAAAGTTTTCCAAAAGAAGGTCTGAAAAACATTTTAGAGGGAAAAATTTCTTTCCCCATGCTCACCTAACTCTAATGGATTTTTCTCATACTATCTAAAACTTATCTTTTGCTGAGACTCTGGGTTAAACTGAGCTGGTATAAAAGTGCGGAACGCCTTTGAAGTTAATGAAATTGTACCCACTTACATCAACAGAAAATTTGGCCCATTATATATTATCTTAAATGAAAATATGTGGAAATTAAAACCACTTAAAGAACCCTAAGAAGAGGTTGAAATGAAAAGCTCTTCTCAACCTTAACAACAGTGTGCTTTACATGTCTATAGTGCCTTTCTTCTCAGGAACTCAAAGCGCTTTACAAATATGAATGAATTTAGCCTCACAACATCCCGTGAGGTAGGTAAGTATTATCCCCGTTTTACAGATGGGGAAACTGAGGCAGAGTTCTGAAGTGACTTGCCCAGGGTCACACATCTTGTCAGTGGCAAAATCAGGCACAGATTTCCAAGAGTCCTGAGTCCCAGTCCTCTGCTCTCTTATGTTCCCTCCCTACTACTACAAAGCAAGCAATATATGCAGCTTCTTTTCCTTCCTTGGTCTCACCATGACTACAGAGGCAGTAGAAGTGAATATATTTACTCCTGGCTGAATTCCTGCTTTCTTTAGTAGAAGCACTTTGTCTGACAGTACTAAGTGCTCATTTTTTATTTCTGCAGAGTTGTTTCTTCCAGAATGTGGTAGAGAGAGGGTTTCTTAAGTCAGGTTTCTCCATACCAGAGAGACTGTACAGGGTGCAACAGGAAGTGGAGAATCCTATTTCTTGCAGAAGACCTGCTGTTTGGCATTCTTCACACGCTGTTCCTCCTTCAGGTTCATCTGGCGTGCGTGTTTGCTGGAGATTATTTCCACATGCTCTGAGGGAAACCAGCCTCTCTCTCCATCTGAGAGTTTCACTCCTTCCATCCAGCCTGCAGGGGTGGAGGCAGACACAGAGAACATGGGACAAACTGGCTGAGATTTCCCTTTTCCCACCCCAAAAAAGCCCCATCCTAACTGAGCAAGCTAGAACAAGACACCAGCCAAAAAGAGATCCCCTTGCAACCTTCAAGCCACATGGTCTATTTGTTTAATGGTCTAATTGAGACCCCAGATAATAGGCAGGCAAGATACGTTCTGAGAAGAAAGCTTCCCTCTCCATCCCTTATATAGCCTAATGGCCCTGTCATCAAAGAGATGACTCAGTTTTCACCCTTCTCCAAGAAGATCACCGCTTGTTCCACTCACCGTCGTTGCTGTTCTGCATGACCATGATGATATCTGCTTTCTCCAGAGCCAGCTCGTCATTCTCCCGAGCTTTGTATGTCCGTATGCACTGAACCTGAGGTGAGTCTGAGAGAGAGAGGGGTGAAGAGCGTGAGCAGGCTGGAGGAGTGAGAGGGATTGCAAGTGTTGGGTACCGCATTCTCCCCAAGGAAGGAAGAACATGAGGGTTGGGCACAACACCTGAGGGATGAGGGAGACACCTTTAGGGTGAGGCCCAGCATCTGAAAAGTGGGGAGATGGAAGAGCGCTCGTGTTAGGGGTGACACCTGTGATGAGTGTCTGAAGCTGTGGAGGGGATGGGGAAGATAGAGACTGAGGGACATCGTCTGGAGATGAGGGGGGAAAAAACGAGTCAAGTTTGACATTTGTAAAATAAGTAAAGGGGAGGGTGAATGCTCCTCTTCAGATTCACTCCTACGTCCATGTTACCCTTATATCTTCCTCCTCACTGGGACACAACTCTGCCCCCTAGGCAAGTCCTCCCACCCATGCCTGCAGCGCCTGAGCAGTCTCACCAGGGTTTTCTAAGAGATCTGGTTCTCCTCGTGGTGGCGCCAGAGCGGAGATCCACCGCAGCTTCTCACTGCTGGAAAATACCAAAATACAGATGCTGGAGAGATAAGAGTGGAGCAGCCAGGGATATTGAGGGTGGGGGCGGTGTTTGTGTAGGGAGGGATTGGAGAAAAGAAGTGCCTGCCACCACCTCTTGGGGAAGTGAAAGAGAATGCTAAATGGGGAAAGTGAAGGATTAGTGAGAATCTGGGGCTAAATGAAGAAGGGAAGAGAAAGGGGTTGAAAAAATGATTTTCCCCATTTTGGGGGTTGATATCCCAGACACGGTGTTAGGAGCTTGAGATATCTGCCTGGGTAGTTGTTCAATGGGGTAACTGAGAAGAGGGTATGGAACAGGACAAGGGTACAGGACGGGGCGGAGAAAGATGGCTCAGTGGATGGGATTAAGGGGTCAAGATGACAGCGTGTTGGGATAATTGGAAAGTGTGGTGGGAGGCTTGCAACTTCATTGTAAGAGAGTGTCCTCTGGGTCTCAGAAGCAGCAGGGGATGTTGGGCATTTAGGCAGCTGAGAGAGGCACAGGGTTTTGGCAGCTGCAACCATATGTATATGTAGTGGTGTTAGGATTCAGTGGGAATAATGTCTGGCTCTTACTGTGTCTCTGTACGAAAGAGGAATTCCACTCTTTTCCCCTGGTTGTTCTTAAGGAGAAAAAGGCGGAAAAGATTTTTGTTTGCCCCGTGCAGCTTCATCTCACACTTCTCCCCACGTACATCTGAAAATGCAGCATGATCAAACACGACAAAGCGCCCACCCCTAAAGGGAAAGAGGGGGAATTAGAAAAACTGTGTTAGGTTTAAAAGTGACGTACACAGGATAAAACATTGGGGTTTGGGCTCTTTCTTGCTGCTTTGATAGGTCAAGAAGGTTTAAAAGGGGTGTGTGTGTGGGGGGGGGGAGTTCCACCTTAAACATATAAAGTCTCATCTTCTCTGCCTTTGCTAGAGGTCTTCTTGGAGGACCAGAGAATTGGAACAGGATTTTTCTTAGCCCTCAATGGAAGGGACAGGATTGTTTGAATCTGTCTCAGACCATTTTTCTCACAAGTGTTCATCAGATGCTGGTTAAATATTTTACAACTTTAAAAAAAAAGAGTCTGGACTAAAGAATCCCTTTCCCTCAACTACTCAGGTTTCAAGTTCTTGTCATGCCATATTCCCACTGGTTCTCTGGTCATCCATACAGTCCTTAAGCTAAAACAGGCTGAGGGAGAAATGCGTTAGCCTTGAACAAAACTAGACTGAACTAAGTTATGCTGTGAAGTATAAAGGGGGTTAGGTGCAAAGGGGAGGAAGATACATAGAACGACATAAGAATGCTATAATTAAGAGTTTGGAAGTGAAGGTACTGCATGATGAAGCTTGCAGGCTGTTCATGAGATGTGAGAGTGCTAAACTGAGCAGTCTAGCCAATAAAGGTTGCCATCTGCTGGCTGGAATCTGAGGGGGAAGGGACGCTGCCTCACCAACATCCCCACCCCTTTCTGGACCCGCGATTATAGAGGTCAGTGAGAGGTGCAGTCTGGGAGACTCACTCCCTGGGCCGGGACAGGAGCAGGCAGTCATTGAAGAGGTGCAGGTATATGGGGCGGGTGGTGACTTTCCACTTGGGGCTCAGAGTGTTGTAGTCCAACGTCATCAGCTCACCACACTTCACCAGCCGCCTAGACTGCGAGACCAGTGGGAATATCTGTGAGACAGGGAAGAATGCCATGATCAGATACCCATGGAAGTTGGTGCATTAGGGCTGGAACCCCTTGTTGAAGGCAGAAGGTGAGGTTGCTCTCATAGCCCCTGTTGTAGGTGGGCAAGTTGTGACCTGAATCCGCTTCTTCCAGCTCCAGGATGAGGTAGATGAATTGGGTAGATTCAAAACTTGTCATCCCTGGCATAATGCAGGGGAGTAGACACCAGAATCAGCTCTTGCTCCCCTCCTTGTACAGGGGTGAGGTGCTGGGCTGATGTACAAGGGGGGTCAGGTTACTGAGCAACCCGAGGGGAGTGTCTCACCTTGTACTGCAACTCTATTTTCTGTGTGCTCCGTATTAGTTCACCAGTGCTCCTCAGGTATTGGAAAATACAGGGTGGGGTGGGACACGGCAGACTGACTGTGCAGTGATGAGTTAGTGGTGTTGGGTCAGGGTAGTAGGTAGGACTAAAGTAGAAATCGGAGCGGGTGGGTTCTCACCTTGCACTCAAAATCAATCTTTTGTCTTAGGTAGATCAACTCCTCAGTGCTCTTCATGCGCTGGACATTTTCGTTGCAGTCCTTTATGAGCTGCAGAGGGGAAGGAGGAAGAGGTTGTTGGGAGCGGATAGAGTAGATGTAGATGGCACAACCCTCAGGGTTCTTTCTCCCAGAACCTTATTTTCCAAAGAGCGGATGGATGCTGTGCTTTCTCGGCCAAACAGTTTTACTCACTGTGGAGGTTTAGTCCCTGATATTGAGTTCTGCTCTGAGCGAGGAGTGCTGTCATCATGTCTCAGTTACTGCAACCTCCTTATGTCTGGTTTTGACAAATCCAGTCTTGTCCTGCTCAGAGCTGTTAAGGATGTTGCTGCAAAGAGCACTCTCCTCGCCTGTTGCTTTGACCATGACACCCCTCACTCTGCCTCGCTGTACTGGCTCTCCCTTCTGTAGCACATCAGACCTAAGGTACTTGTCTTCCACATTAAAAGCCTTTCACAGCCTCTCCCCACCCTAGCTAGCATCATGATACTACCTATCATTCAGTATCAAAGGGTCAACTCCTGCCTCCGATTGGCTGTCCGCCTCCACTACCCACTTGTTAAATTTTCAAACAAACACCTTTAGGCTTGGGTGGCACTCCTGTAAACATTTGCAGAACTAGTTCATTATCCACCTTCAAGTCCCTCCTTTGCTGGTGATGCCTACAAGAAACTCAACAATGGTTAGGCTGCTGGAATATTAAGATCACAGCCTAGCATGCTATTGTTTCCTTGTGCTCCCATCTGTTGTCTCTTGTCTTATACTTCGTTCCAGCCCCAAATAGCTTAGAGTATGTCTATTTGTCCTGTGTTTGCACAGCACCTGGCCCAAAGGGCTACTGGGTGCTACAATAATACCAGGATCTCTGGGGAGCAGTAGATGCATCAAAATACTGTTGCCTGTTGGGAATTGGGGCAAGTCACTGGTCATTTGGGAGCAATACTTACTACAGGCAGTATCTCAAGCATACAGGAAGCTGGGGGTTTATTAGATAATACTTAACCACAGACTCCACCTTTGCATGGTCCTGACCCACCTCCTGCTCCACTAAATCTGTTCCCTATCCCCACACGAGGAGGATGTTCTTTAGCCTTAAATATAGAGCTGTCTAATGTGGTTGAAACCCAGCAGCTGCTAATAGTGCATGGCAAGGTGGATTTACAGAAGAAGGGAGCAACACTCTAATGGGCAGGACTAGCTCAAGTACAATCTAGGACCCACTTTGCTGCAAGGTTTAGGATTCAGTGTGTGACATTCTTGCCCGCACCCAACAGTCCCAAATTCCTATGCTCTATAGCTGCTCTGCTGTGGGAGACTCAGTTCTATGAGACTTGAGCAGGGGTGAGATTGGATAGGAGGGCATGCACACCATGTCCAAAAAATAATCTGAGCGGTTGCAGGGGTGGAGAATACCTGCAACGATGGGGGTGGCATCACGATTCCTCAAGGAACTCAAATTATTGCCCTGTTTATCTTAGTGCATAGTGACCAACCAAGAATGGTATCCCATTGTGCCAGGCACGGTACCAACACAAAGTAGTAAACAGTCCTGCCCCCGAGAGCTTCAGTCTAAATAGACACAGGGTAGGGGAAAGGGATACAGCATACAGATTGATGATTGTGCAAGTGGTATGTGAGTGTCATGATATGGGGGGGAGGAGAGCGGGCGCGGTGGGACAGATATGGTAGTTTCTTGCAATATCCTTGAAAAACCTTATTGAATGAAGTAGCTTTGGAGTTTGTTGCATTAAAGATGCAAAGTTTATGTATTATTGTAGAATTGTATGTAACTTTTCTAGGGGGAAGATGTGACCCCCATAAACCCTGAGAAGTGTTATAAGCTTCAAAGCTTTAAACAATATGCCAGACAAGAAGGAACCTTTGGGACAAACAAAGTTGAGTGGGTTTTCTAGGAAATACTTGGGAGGAGGTAAATGCAAATTCCCACCTCTGGACCCAACCTTCTGCCATAAGGAGAAACGCATTGTCTGCTGATTACCTATTCTTGGAATAGGCAGATCAAAACTCCAAGCTGCAAAAAGGAGGGACTTATAGTTCAGAACAAGCTCCCTCGTGAATTTAACAGTTATTAACTTGTAACCACAGGAAGACCCCTTGGTGGGGTTTGAAGGACTGATCAGCCCCAGTTGAAGTTGGCAGGGGGAAGTGGGGGGAAAGCTCTGGTAAGCTTTTTACAATGTGGGGTATGTTCCTTTAGTGTTTTTAACGTTTTCTCTGTAATGCTTTCACCTTAAGAAATGTGCTTGTTTAGAAAGGACTGTGTGGTAGCTTGTAACTGTGGGCAATTAGGCTGTTTATAGCCTCTGAAGAGAAAGCAAAGCAGGCCTGCTGAGGCAGTCTGACTTGCAGGGGAACTCATTACAGGCAGGGAACTGTGCAGCCCAGCAAAACCATGGTCAGGAGGGAGTGAGCCGTGGGTCTCTACCTGAGAGACCTGATGGCTGGGGAGCTGGAAGCCTGAGTGGGTGCCCTGGCTGGAACCACAAGGGGGAAATACAGGTGCAATTGCCCAGAACTGTGATGGAGGTTTCTGTTTAAACCCATTGAGTTAAATGAAAGACAAAGGGAATGAACAGCCAATCAGCACATGAGAGAGAATGCCTAGAGTGAAAACTAAAGAAAGTAGTGTGACATCATCAGTGCCCAACAGCCCCTGCTCTTGCCCTTGGCTCCCTGCTTACACTTCAAGAGCATGTGGCACTAGCACATGAGAAGTAAGATCATGTGAGCATTTCAGTCTGATCCTGATGGGAGTCCCATGCTGTGGGAGTCCCTGCAGCTGTTTGGTTCACTGCCTAAAGCAGCACTGGCAGGTTGGTAATAACACTGCTAGTGGAGAATGGGCTGGTGCTCCTTACCTTCTCCAGTGCATCATAAGCCTGTGTGGCCTGCACTTCTTCATCCGACTCGGGCGGGGTTCTCTTCAATATATTCTGCAGAACAACCGCAAAAAGTGTCTCAGAACGGAGGCTGAGAGAATGGACTCCCAAGGACAAAAGAGATGGGCATGTGGATATGGGGGAGGCAGGTGTAGGGAGACAACAGGATGAGCAGTGGCAAGGGAGAAATGGGCAGAGGGCCAGGACAGGAGGGGAGCGTGAGGGGATCAGGATAACCAGCGAGCACAGGAATCTGCATGCAGCTCCTGTCTTTGCAAGTGTACTACTAGACTCGAATATCACATGCAATAACTTCTGTAGGGGGGAAATGAACACTAGTCATGGCACAAAACAGCCTAGGTACAACAACATGGTTCTTATTTGTTCAATACTTCTTTCTGTCTGTCCAACAGTAAGGCACATTGAGCACATTACATTGGCTCCTGTTTGCTTCCAAGTGCAGTTCAAGGTATTTTTAAAGTTTGGGGGTGGGGGGGGAGGGATAGCTCAGTGGTTTGAGCATTGGCCTGCTAAACCCAGGGTTGTGCGTTCAATCCTTGAGGGGGCCATTTAGGAATCTGGGGCAAAAATCTGTCTGGGGATTGGTCCTGCTTTGAGCAGGGGGTTGGACTAGATGACCTCCTGAGGTCCCTTCCAACCCTGATATTCTATGATTCTAGGATTAAAAACTCCTAAACTCTAGAAGGGGAGCCTGTAAGCATCTATAACATAGCCAGCATTGGTGTCAGAGCAACTATCAAAGATTATCACAACCATGCTATGCAGGCCATTGAACAGGCAAACTTCTCTCCTGTTCCCCTCAGCTCCTGTTTCTTTCCCTGTCTGGCCTTGGACAGGATTCCTGTGCAGTGACCTGTGTCTGAGGGCTTGTCTATACTTACGCGCTGGTTCGGCGGCAGGCAATCGAACTTCTGGGTTCGATTTATCGCGTCTTGTCTGGACGCGATAAATCGAACCCAGAAGTGCTCGCCGTCGACTCCGGTAATCCTGCTCGGCGCGAGGAGTACGCGGAGTCGATGGGGGAGCCTGCCTGCCGCGTCTGGACCGCGGTAAGTTCGAACTAAGGTACGTCGACTTCAGCTACGTTATTCACGTAGCTGAAGTTGCGTACCTTAGTTCGAATTGGGGGGTTAGTGTAGACCAGGCCTTAGTGTGCTGTGAGGGAGGAGTTGATAATATGGGCCGGGGACTGTGGGTCCTCCGACCACAGCGCTGTTTACCTGTAGGAGGAGTTTGAGTCGGGTGATGCGTTGGAAGGGGAGAATGAGGAAGGATTTGAGGGAGAGGCGCTGGCACACAGTGGCACTTTCCAGTTTCTCCAGGACTTGCTGGAACTTTGCATTCCTGGTCCTGCCAGAGAGAGAGAGAGAAATCTAGGAGTTGTACAGAATAACAAAGTGATGGTGCCTTCCACAAGGGGAGGGGCAGGATCACAGTCTGATACGACCAAGCAGCAGAGCCCCCATTACCTTGGAACTGGCTCTTTCCCTGGGGGAGAAACAATCTCTCTCTCTCAATGGAGTTGAACCCTTCTGCTGGGGAAGAGGTAGAGTGCAGGCTGGCCCTTTGGGAACTGGGTCTCTCAGCAGGGTAGCAGTGAGAAAGTAATATTGAGGTAGCATCATAGGGACCTACTTCCTTCATCAGATGAACGGCCATATTGGGTCAGACCAGTGGTCCAACAGGCCCGGTATCCTGTCTCTGGCAGTGGCCCGTACAAGAGCTGTAGGGTGTGTATACAGAATAGGGCAGCTGGAGTGATCCACCCCGTCTTCCCCTCCTGGCTTCTGGTGGTCAGAGGTTTAGGTTGCTCCAAGCATGGAGTTACATCCCTGACCATCTTGGCTAATACCACTTGATGGATCTGTCCTCCATGAACTTTTCTAATTCTTTTTTAAACCCAGTTATTCTTTTGGCCCTCACAACATGCCATGGCAATGAGTTCCACAGGTTAGCTGTGTGTGGTGTGTAAAAGTACTTTCTCTTGTTTATATTAAATTTGCTGACCATTAATTTCATCAGCTGATCCCTAGTTGTTATATTGTGGAAAAGGGTAAATAACATTTCTCTATTCACTTTTCCCACACCATTCATGATTTTACAGACTTATCATATCCCCCTTATACTTCTCTTTTCTAAACTGATCAGCCCTAATCTGTTTAGTCTCTCTTTGTATGGAAGCTGTTCCATACCCTTAATAATCTTTGTTGTCCTTCTCTGAACCTTTTTCACTTCCACTATATCCTTTTTGAGATGGGGTGACCAGAACTGAACTCAGTATTGAAGGTGTGGGTGAACCATAGATGTATATAGTGGCATTATGAGATTGTCTTGTTTTCTCTTCCTTTCTTAATAGTTCCTAACATTGTCAGCCGTTTTGACTGCTGCTGCACACTGAGCTGAAGTTTTCAGAGAGCTATCCATGGTGAGTCCAAAAATCGATCTTGAGTGGTAACAGCAAATTTAGAACCCATCATTATATATGTGTAGTTGGGATAATATGTTCCGTTGTGAATTACTTTGCACTTGTCAATGTTGAATGTCATCTGCCATTTTGTTGCCCAGTCACCCAGTTTGGTGAGCTCCCTTGGAAACTCTTCCCAGTCAGCTTTGGACTTAACTATCTTGAACAATTTTGTATCATCTGCAAACTTTACCACTTCCTTGTTCACTCCCTTTTCCAGTGGGCAAGAGAAGCTGTTCCCTGGTGAGACAGAGCCCTTTGGAACAGGGAGACTCCTCCCTACAGAGGGAATAGCCACATTCCAATTTCCCCCTCAACGGGTTAGGGCACTTCCCTAGAGGCAGAGGCAATGCCTGTGTGCTCCTCCCACCTCCTTTCCCTAGAGCACAGGCAGCATCCTGGAGGCCCTCTCTGTTTGGAATTGAGACTTCCCTGGTGGGCGGAAGGGAGGGATCAGTACCAAGGCAGCCTCCCTCAGTATTAGGTGGCAGTGAGAGGGAGTACAAGGGATGGCTCCGTTAGGTGGTGCCCTTCCCTAGGAGAAGAAGGGAGGCAGTATGTGTGCAGCTTCTGTGAGGACTGGGTTCTTGTATGGACATAGCAGTGGGAGAGTTGTTACTAAGGCAGCTTCATTCCGTGTTGGGGTCCCTCCCAATAAAGGGTCAGTATCGAAGTGACCTACAGCTCTGATTTGTTCTCTCCTGCAGGGGGTGTTGTGGCACTGGGGCATTAGCTGCTCCACTCTACCCTCCACAGCCAATCTGAACTGAATCATCCAGCCAGTCGTATCTGCCTCCTCCAGTAGGATGGGGTGGCATGAACCTGCAATTACTTGTTTCTGCCTTCTCCAACAAGGGGCTCTGATACTTGGTAGAATCAAATGCTGATTAGTCTTTCCCTTCCCATGGCTGTTAAACCAGAGGAGCCTGGAGCTTCCCAGCCCTGCCCTCCCAATGGATGGTTTCTGTAACACTGATGGAAGCCTCCGACCGCTCTCATACACCCACGCTTGTAGACGGGGCATGACTACCTGGGGGGCAACCTGCAACTGCTTAGCTCTATCCTGGCTGATAAAGGGCACTTATGAGGTGCGGCAAGGAGAGCAGAGGGTGAGACGGGAACAAAGCAGTATTCTTACACTAGCTTCTGGAAAATCTGCTCCTGGTAGGTCTGATTTGTCACGTATGGTAGATACACCTTGCGGAATGCAGGGGCATGTCTCAGAGCCACGTCACACACGTTGAAGTTGAACATGTTCTCCTCAAACTTCTCCTCCAGCTCGAAGAGGAAACTGTAATGCCCCATATGTCGCCATAAAAGGAGAGAAACACTGTTACTAATGTGCTGTGGTTACTGTTATTATTTATTATTTGCATTACCATAGCACCTAGGAACCACAGTCATAGGCCAGGACCCCATGGTGCTCAACGTTGTACAAACACAGAACAAAAAGATGGTGCCTACCTCAAGGAGCTAAAACTCTGACTATAAGACAAGAGACAGCAGATGGATACAGACAGACTGGAGAGTACAAGCAAAGTGAAAAGGTCCTTTTGTCTCTATCAGTCACCTGTCTCCTTCCCTTGCTGTGCTACATGTAAGGCCCATATACTAATCACAAGGTTCCTCTCCACTTTGGGGGGATAGCAGAGGTTTGGTGGTGGTGGTTTGGTTTCCAGTGTGAAAGAAAGCTGAGGAATACCAAAATACATCATCATTAAGGCAAAAGGGATTTCAGCTGCTGTGAAGTCCAGTTTACTGCTGCTTAAGGCACAGTCACAAGGATCTGAGAGTTTAAAACAAAAACAACCCAGCCCTGTAGTGGAAATGGAAAAAGTGGTAGAGAACCAAAGGACATGCAATCAGTCAAGCCTTACAGGAGAAAAATAAAGGCTCTGGGATACAGAATGTACACCAACCAAAATGTCTGGCATGTGGTGGCACTGGTTCTGGTTCAGGCTTATGGCTGGTGCTGGATTGAGCCAGGTTGAGATCTGCCAGATAGTGGCTCTAGTTTTCTTAAATTGGGTCAGGTGGATGATGGGTTCTGGGTTATGTCTGCTTGGTGCTAGATTTGGGCCAAAGTCTCCTTCCTGGTAATTCTCGTTTGGTTCAGGCCAGGTTTGGTGGGGCCTGTGGTCTTGTTGGTGGCATTTTAGATTCTTTGTTCTCCTGCTATTTTCTGTTTGTACAAATGTGCCACCATTTCTAAATGCACCACACTGAATGAACAAGACTACCTGACTTACTCTCTCTCACACAAAGAAGGAAAGAGGTTTGTTCCAAGGTAGGGTAGATGTTCCTCTGAAGAAGGGATGTGTGTCCCAGGACTGAATGGACACGTGGAGTAGGGGTGAGAGGGCTATTGACTGGTCTGATCTTTGTTTTCCATCCTTGTGAAGTGCAGATACAGCCCAGACGCTGGTGGTCTCTGAAGTGAAGGACCTGGACTCACCTGGCACTGACATCACGCACTTCCTGCAGGCGGGAGAAAAGCCACTTGCGCTCCTGATTGGTGAGGAGTGCCTGGAGTTCTGATGAGCGCTGGAAGTGATCCACTGCCACATTTAAACTGCGCAAGTATGAGGCCTCTGACATGATCAACTCGAACTTGGCCTGTAGAGGAAGGGACATAGTGTCAACGTAGCAGGCATGTCTGTGAGGGATGTAAACGAGGTGGCACTGAAGGACAATGAAGGGGCAAAGGTCAGGAACCTTCCTGGCTTCCAGTGTAGGTGGTGTGTAGCTGCTGCTTCCTAATGGAAAAAAAAGCCAAGCTCTCTCTAACCAGGTAATATAAAGAGATGGTGCTTTAATGATGGTGAGAGGTCTGGGGCTAGGCAGGCTGGCAGAGATAGATGGGGACATCAGTCTATTCCAGTGGTTCTCAAACTTCTGTATTGGTGACTCCTTTCACACAGCAAGCTGCTGAGTGTGATCCCCCTTATAAATTAAAAACACTTTTAAAAAATATTTGACACTATTATAAATGCTGGAGGTGAAGCGGGGGTTGGTGGTGGAGGCTGACAGCTGGCGACCCCCCCATGCAATAATCTCATGACCCCCCCGGAGAGGTCACAACCCCCAGTTTGAGAACCCCATGTCTATTCTTTCTTCATCTGTCCATTTGTTGGGATGGAAGGACAAGCTTATGGTGCGATTTGAAGCTATTCATCAACTTTGACTTGGAACTGTAGTATCTATTTTTTGCCCCTTTTTTTTTTGTTTGTTTGTTTTACAGAAATAATCACAACACCTCCTGTGTCCTATTCTTTCTCCAGAGATTCATCCTTCCTGGACTTCTCTTTATTTAGCACCCCGCCCCCCCCTCCATTGCCATTTCTCACAAGTTGTCTGATCTCCTCAGTTCTACCTTTTATTTCTCCATCAGGGTCCTCAAATTTCCCCCAAGTCCTCATTTTCTCCTCCTTCCCTAGATCCTCTTGCCCCACTGCTTCCACTTCAGTTCATCTTGATTCCCCTTGTCCTTCCCACCCCATTTCTCTGAATCTGCGTGCTCCGTGTCCTCCAGTTCCCTCACAGCCTCTTTCGCACACAATGGCCAACTTTTGATCCTTGCATTCTTTTTCAGAGGAATTATAGTCCAGGCCTTGATTAATGTAGTCTTTTAGGGTCCTCCAGCTTCTTCCACTCTTGGTCTATTTTAGTAGCAGGGGACTGGACTCAGGAGGTCCCTTCCAGGCTTATGTCCCTAATGCTTCCTCCTATTGTACCTTGCTCCACACGGCTTCTTAATTCCTCCAAATTTGCTTTCATAACATGTACTGCTGGGATCCATAACTGCATTCCTTACCCTTGCATGCCTTTCCCTTACTATGCTGGGTTCAATTCACTCATAATCACAGGTACCAAGCTTCCCTTTAACCTGGATACACATTGCTGATAATTTCTCTTCCTCTTCACCCATCTGCATTCCTGTATCATGCATTCATGCTCTCTGATTTGTCCATCCATCTATGCTGTCCCACCTGGCCAATCCCCATCCCTCTGCCTATAGCATCCATCCATTACCTCCTGCAGTTTCTGATCATCTCGGGACATGTTCAGCAGCATTCTGCTTCCTCGGATCATGGGGATGTCCTGCCAGAGGGACGCGTTGGACGAGACTGACAGTCGTTGAAGATACGAGTCCTGCGAAGACAGCACTTTCCTCCGTAACCTTGGGGAGCTTGGAGAGCTCAGTTCGAAGTCCTCTGCCAAAGAATCCACTCTCTTCTGGCTCTGGATTGCCTTGTTCAGAGCCACATCGCTGTATTCCTGATAGAGTAACCTTGCTGTGGAGAGAGGCCAGCAATTCAGATTCATTCGAAAGCAGTGACTACTGAACTCCCTGTGTGGAGAGGGCTCCATTACGGTTTCAATACTATCAGTCTAAGACAAATGGACATGTCAGAGCCTATAGTGTTTATAATGCACCTATCACCAGCATAGCTCTCCACATCTCTAATCACTTTGCATGCTGATGGTTACATGGCCCTCTCTATACTCTCTCGCTGATACTCCCACCTAATTTCACTGTAGCAGCTCTCCACAGGGGGGATAATGGCTGGGGTTTTCTAGAGCTCTTAGATGAGAGGTACTTACAGGAGTTGATCAGTTTGGAGTGTCGGCGCTTGAAATTATCCAGTGTGTCTGCAGATTTCTTCTCCCTGTCCGGGGAGAGGAGAAGGTTTGGGGAGCAAGGAGACAGGAGAAAATAAGAACTGCTGAACTGGATGTAGCTTATCCAGATCTCAGTAATTAATCTGGAACAGCTGGGACTTCTCTCTCCATCAAGTTCAAAGTCTGCATTCCTTATTTCTACTGCAAAGGACCGTTGTCAGGATGATGGATATTCAGAAGTAAAGGGACACGAATTCCCCTCTTGCCCCTTGGGGAAGGGGATCCCATTGCATGGGCAGCCTGGGATGAAGCTTAGGCATTATCTCAGAGAGCATTTTGCTCTGTTGTCTGTCTCTTGGGTTGCTAAGGAATCACTGGAAAGTTCTGGGCCTCTGTACCTCAGGTGGAAGGGATTAGAAGCAAATGGGAGACTCACCGAAGTATAACTGTGTCTAAGCTGGTTGGCTGGTCCTTGTGTGCTCCCTCCTCTGAAAGGACAAGAGAAGTTATCCCATTTTCTGCCAATAAGACAGCAAGCACTCGTGAGAGAGATTCCAAGTAGCCAACTGTAAGGACATGATGCAATGCGGAAATCACATCCTAAACCCTATGTAGAGGCGGTAGCCTGGGACTGGGACCAGTGCCCTCCTGAGGTTTTTTTTCGGGCTTTACAGCTTCATGGCTTTAACAATACTTGGCACTTACTTAACACTTCGTACCCATCATTTAGACAATAATTCTTGTCTTTCATACACACATCTTTCCAAGCCACCAAATGGGAAGAGGCCTGCATTTTCAAAAGTGACAAGGACTTTGGTGCCCAATTTGACGTGCCTGAAAGAGGCCTGATTTTCAGGGTGTGGGTGGCTTGCTCAGCATTTTCTAGAAATCGGGGGCCCTTTAAAGTGCCTCAAGTTGGGCACCCACCACCTGAGGCACCCAAAGTCATTTCTGAAAATCTGAGCCTTATTCTTGGAGATGTTCAGACCCCAAAGCTCCGATTTACTTCACAGTTGTAAGTACTCAACACCTCTGAAAATCACCCTATACATATGTGTTGGGAGCACTGTGGTCTAGTAAATTAGGCATGGGACTAGATGTCAGAGCTGGGTTCGTTGTGATTCTGATACTGACACTAAGTCACTGGTGACCTTTGGGAAGTCACTCTCTCTTTCTCTGAAGCAGGGTTCCGTTTGTAGAATGGGGGAAATATTTACCTCCTTTGATGGAGGGTGTTGGGAGAGGCCTAACTAAAGCTGAGGAAAGAACTATATATGTGGCAAAGGATTATTAAGACCAGCTGGTGGCAGGGATGAGAACAGAGCCCAGGAAGGGGACCACTATTATCACTAACTTCTTCCACTTTGGGGCCAAAAATGTATAAGTGCAATATTTTGAACCAAAGTGGCTTCAATGTAAAAACACTTCCAGTATCCCAAAATGCCAATATTTATGCAGTGTGAAAAAACATAAAAGGAGTCGAGGCAAAAATATGCCAAAAGTGTCACTAATTTCATCCAGCTCAATATCTGTATTGATAAAGGGCATAGAGATCTCATCCTCCCACGTACACACTAAGTACAATATTGGCTAGGTGCATTGTGGGGGATTTATGCCTTTGTCTAAAGAATTCATCATTGGCTTCCACCAAAGACAGGACACTGGATCTGATAGATTAGCATTCTGATGCAGTAACTGGTTTCTCTTCAAATCGTATAAATATTTCTCCAAGGGTAGCATGGGATCAGAATGGGACCTGAAGGTTTCTGAATCAAACTGAACAGCTCTCAAGTCTGGCACTAAAGAGGTGGCACCAAATAGGCCAGGAGATCCAAAATCTCACTGGCCTTATATCTATCTCACTGTCATTCTTTAAGTGTGCGCACTTTTTTGTTATTGCTTGAAAGTTGGCTATCACTTCATCTGCAGACATGGAACAGCCTTGGGGTGGCAGCAGAGGCCTCTACCCTTCAAAGGCGAATCGCTTACTGTGAAAAGATTAGTACTAGTGGGACCACTGCATGGCTGAGGAAAAGGACTAGAACTCTGAATAAGGACAGAGTGCTCCTACACAGCATTTTGGAGTGAGCCTCCAAGCCCAGGTCAGCAGACATGAGCAGGAGCACTGCTAGCCTGTGCTCTAAAAATAGCTGTGTAGACAGAGCTTTAAAGTTATGGGGTGGGCTCTGAAGCCCACCCTATCTCCCTAAGCTTCAGCACCCGGGCTCCAGCCCAAGCCACAACTTCAGAGCAATCTATACAGCTATTTTTAGAGCCCTAGCGTGAGCCCTGTTAACCCAAGTCTGTTGGCCAGCGCTGGGAAGCTTGCTCCAAAATGCTGTGTAGCCCATGGGGGCTCAGTGGGTAGGCAAGGCAGGAGAGAAGGGAGGCTGGAGGAGCAGGCGGGGAAGGTGGTGAGAAGAGATGCTGGGCAAGTAGTTGAGGAGGGACTAATATAGTGAAATGGGAGCTGGGTGTGCTGTTGGTAGCTGTTATTAGTATTGGTCAGTCTGGAGAATGGTGATTGGGATAGCGGTCCAAAGCAGGCAAACAGGCAGGCCTCACTTGATGTAATAGCTTTTTTTATCTCTGGAAACCCCAATAATACAGCTCAATTTTAGTGACAAGGGGGTATATTTCCACAGGGCAGGACTGAGGGGCATTAGCAGAGCTATGAGGGGAGCCCGGGACTGGAATAGCAAGGGGACTGCAGGGCAGGATAGAGGGGCTTTGGCAAAGCTGTGTGTGGATAGTTTTGGAAGTGGGTCTCTAGCTATTCTCTGGCTATAGCTATTTTCACTCCCTCACTCCTCCATCATTTGCTTTATGCTGAGATTTGGTATCTTAGGAGGAGAGGGGTCTCACCTTGTAAATTGTCTGACAGTACTGACATCTTCCTCAGGCCCTGCCGGTGCCAGTCTTTGCTTTTTGCTCGGCGTTTGATTGCGTTCTCCTGACTCCCTGAATTGAGTCCCAGCTCCTTCATGTCCACCCTGATGACTTTATCTGGCCAACTTGATGCCTTCTCCAAGGGTGCATGTTTGACGGCCACCTCTTTCACCTGGGCCGCAAGGTGAAGCAGTTCTCCCTGCCCTTCCATCTTTTGCTTGCATGTCCTAGCGCCCTCTGCTTTCTCTATCATCACTGCAGGGGCTGTTGTGTTCCTCGTATCCACGCTGGTGGGGCCTGCCTGTGCCTGGTTCCACTGGGGCTCCTCGAAGACTGCATCCTGTCGGTATAGTGTTCTAATGGCTGGTGGCGATGGAGGGCTGAACTGCAGGAAGTGGATTGGGTTGGAGAAAGCTAGTAGTGGGGGTGGCTGTGCTGAATTTCTACTCTGAGAGTCTGTGGATGTTCCCCACCCTCCCAGGGAGGGCCTGGAGGTGTAGTCAGGTGTGGACTTTCCACAGTGTGTAGCCAGGTGCTGACCCATTGCTTTAGGGCTTCTGTCAGAGTGGCCCATGGGTGCCTCATTCTCCAAAGTGGGAAAATCTGAGCTCTCGGCCAATGAAGTGGCCCCTGAGTCACTGGTGTCCACCACGTCTGGTGTAGGTGAGATGACAGGATCCCACTGGGCACCAGACACTCCCTCATGGGTCATCTGCATTAGGAGGGGGTTCTCTTCTCCATCTTCCACAGCAGGGGCAGGGACCAGAGTGTGAGCAAGGCTGTCGGCATCAGGCACAGAGGCTGGAGCCTGGGCAGGGCAGCTGGAATTGGGGGCAGTGGCCAGTAACTGACTAGAATCTGATACACAGTTTAGAGGTGGAGTGGAGTTAGATACAGGAGGCAGAGGCTTGTCAATATCAGATGCAGGGGCTGAAGGCTGGTTGGAGTCAGGCACAAGGGACTGAGACTGGAGAAGCTGGTAGGCATCAGCCAGAAGAGCCAGGGGCGAGCCAGGTGCAGAAGCTGGAGGCTCGGTGGCATCAGGCACAGGAACCAGGGGCGAGCCAGGAGCCAGAGGGGGGGCGAGCTGATCGGCATCTGGTGCAGGAGTCAGAGGCGAGCTGGGTGCAGGAGCCAGAGGGGGGGTGAGCTGATCGGCATCTGGTGCAGGAGTCAGAGGCGAGCTGGGTGCAGGAGCCAGAGGGTGGGTGAGCTGGTCGGCATCTGGTACAGGAGTCAGAGGATGGCCGAGCTGTATGGCATCAGGTGCAGGAGCCAGGGGCGAGCTGGGCAAAGGTACTGAAGAGTGGGCAAGCTGGCTGACATCCGGCACAAGGGCTGGGGGCGAGTCGGGCGCAGGAGCTGGAGGGTGGACGAGCTGGTCAGCATCAGGCACAGGTGCCAAGGGCGAGCTGGGAACAGGAGCCAGAGGGTGGGCGAGTTGGGTGGTATCAGGTGCAGGAACCAGGGGTGAGCCGGGCGCAGGAGACAGA